ATTAAGGGTGTCAGGATTTGGGGTGTGAGGGTGCTCAGGGTTTAGGGGTTTGGGGTATACGGTCTAGGATTTTAGATGCGGTGGTTGAGGGTTGGGAAGGGAGGGCGTTCGTGGGTTTAGGGTTTAAGGGGTTTAGGGTATGAGGCTTAGGGTTCGAGATTCGGGGATTTAGGGTTGGGGTTGGAAGGTGTTCACGGTTTAGGGGCTTAGGGTATAAAGGTTTGAGTTTGGGATTCGGGGGTTTGGGGTTGGGATGGGAGGGCTTTCAGGGTTTATGGATTTAGGGCTTTAGGGGCTTAGGGTAAGGGGCTTTGGGTTTGAGAATGTGGGTTTCAGGATGTGGGATGGGCGTGTGTTCAGGGTTGATGGGTTTATGTAAGGGTTTACGGTGTAAGGCTTGGGGCTTAAGGTTTGGGGTTTCAGGGTCGGGGTTTCAACTAAACTTCGACTCCTTTGGCGGCGCTTTTTTCACCGGGCACTGAACAATTTTAAACGCCCGGTGAAAAAGCGCCACCGAAGGAGTCGGAGTTTAGTCGAAACTTCGATCAAACTTCGACTCCATCGGTGGTGTCCTTTTCACCGGGAGCTGAAAATTGTCAGCTCCCGGGGAAAATCCGTCGCCGAAAGAATCGAAGTTTAGTCGAAGTTTCGACTCAACTCCGACTCAGCGAATCGAAGTTTAGTCGAAACTTCGACTAAACTTCGATTCGCTGAGTCGGAGTTTAGTCGAAACTTCGATCAAACTTCGACTCGCCGAGTCGAAGTTTGATCGAAGTTTCGACTCCGGAGTCGAAGTTTGATCGAAGTTTCGATCGCGAGTCGAAGTTTAATCGAACTTTCGACTCCGGAGTCGAAACTTCGATCAAACTTCGACTCGGCGAGTCGAAGTTTGATCGAAGTTTCGACCAAACTCCGACTCAGCGAATCGAAGTTTAGTCGAAGTTTCGACTAAACTTCGATTCGCTGAGTCGGAGTTTAGTCGAAACTTCGACTAAACTTCGATTCTTTCGGTGGCGGATTTTCCCCGGGAGCTGAACATTTTCAGCTCCCGGTGAAAAAGACACCACCGATGGAGTCGAAGTTTGATCGAAGTTTCGACTAAATTCCGACTCAGCGAGTCGAAGTTTAGTCGGAGTTTCGACTAAACTTCGATTCGCGGAATCGGAGTTTAGTCGAAACTTCGTCTGAATTTCGATTCCAAGCCCAAGTCCTCTGATAGCGCTTTCGGCGCCGGGCACATATTTTTCAGTGCCCGTCACCGGAAACCCACCATCCGCCACCACACGCCACCACCCACCACCCACCACCAACACAACCCAGCCCAACCACCCAACCCACCACGACATACCACCACCGACCACCATCACCACCCACCACCGCCGCCGTCACCACTACCACCACCACCACCACCACCACCACCACCGCCACCACCGCTCGCCAATCGCCACGCCACCCGCCAGCCGCCAGCCGCCAGCCGCCGCCCGCCACCCACCACCCACCACACCACCACCACACACGCCACACGCCACACACCAACCACAAAGCACCACCCACCACCCACCACCCACCACCCACGGCCCACCACCCACCACCCACCACCCACCACCCACCACCCACCACCCACCCCCACCACCCACCACCCACCAGCCACCACCCACCACCCACCACCCACCCCACCCAGAAAACCACCTACCACCACCCACCACCCACCACCCTCCACCCACCACCCACCACCCAACCACCATGCACCCACCCACCACCCGCCACCCCCCACCCCACCACCCGCCGCCCGCCCTCCCTGCCACCGCCACCGCCACCACCGCCGCCACCGCCGCCACCGCCACCACCACCACCACCACCACCAACACCACCACCACCACCTGTATATGTATGCTGTATGCATGTACGTATGTATGTATGTATGTATGTATGTGTGTGTGTGTGTGTATGTATCAATATCAACCCAACCTGCCAAACCCTTGAACCGCCCAAATGTTAAACCCATAACAGTCCTGGAGCTCCTAAACTCCTAAATCCACGTAATCGGAACTTCTGAAGCCCTAAACCCTTGAACACCTAGAACCTCCAACACCTAAGTCCCCAACCCCTAACCCCGAGGCCCAAGCCGTCTTTAGGGTGCTGGTGTTTTTTCTTAAACAACAAGGGAACGCTAAGGGTTTATTTAGGGAGTTTAAGGTTTTTTTCCGAAGCTATAGATTAGGGTTTTTCCTAAACCGAAAAGGGTAAAATAATGCGAAAAGTTGTTTTCTGCAACTTTAGGTTTTCTTCCTAAACGAAAAAGGGTAAGGGAAACCGCCAGGCTTCGGGTTTAGGGTTTTTCTTTCCGGGAGCTAGCACACCTAAGAGTCAGCAGGAAGCCGAAGGCTCCTTGAGGAGATATACAAAAAAGATTAAGCCAGAGGCTCCTGCCAATAGAAAGTTATCCCTTGCAGTCCTCCCAGCCCAAAGGTTTTGTTCACAAGATCTGTATCATGCGAAGAGGAGGGTCGAAGCGAAACGCCGGTGGCCTTGCTTCACACGTGCTCCCTCCAACACCCGAGCCTTCGAAGCTGGGGCCCCATTTGCTACGATCTTTCGCTGGTGGAGGATGTGTGCCAGAATTACAGACGGTGGCTGGTGACCGGGGGAAGAAGGCGTGCCGAAAGAACACGTCAAGCCTGAAATCTCGATGTTGGCCGGGCAATGTCCCGGCAATCTCAGACGGGACTTGCTTCGCCACACTGGGATGCCGACACTTACTAGCCACGCCGTCTGTGTGCCAATCAAGAAGGGGCAGGCGAGAAACCCATGGGATGTTTTCAGAACAATGCAGCAGCAACATGCCAGGATCTTCCAGGAGCTCGTCTGCAGAAGTGCTGCCGATGTTCGTGGCTTCTGGAAGGAAGTCTGGGGCCACCCAGTCCTGGTAGACCACCCAGACCCAACGATCGAAGCAAATCCATAACTACCAAATCCGGGCTATCCCGGACCGTGGCGATGGTGTGCCGATCCAATCGAAGGACAGGTCTTGTGCATTCATCTTTTGGAGAAGCCCGCTCTCGTCAATGTCCTCCTCAGAGCTGACCCATGTGGTTTGGACTGAGCCGGTTTTGGTGTAACTTGTGGCAGCATTGTGGCCATCCTCTGGCGACACGTTGTTCGGCGTTTGAACGAGCCTTCGAAGCTTGCAAGACGAACAGTGAGCTTTTCCCGGTGCTCCTCTACCTGCTTAATACTCCAGGCATACGCATGCAAGCACTCTAGAGGAGCCTTGGGCTTCCTGTCTCGCTACGAATCCTAGCTCAACCTTAGGAGCCTTTGGCTTCCTGCTGACCCTCCCACATGCCAAGTGAAGCCACTGATCCAAGCAAATTATTGTGGACTTGCAGCTCTATGCCAATACGATGGCATTTCAAGACATAGGAAATTAGTCTATTATAGGATATTTACATATCCTAAAATAGCCTATATAGGCTATTTATAAATAGACTATATATCCTATAATAGGATAGTATATATCCTATCAATTAACAGCCTAAGAAGATTCTTTGGGTAATCAACAAATCTACATCGTTGGCATTCGAGAACTGTGCTTCCAACTTCCGAGTGTGGCAGTAGTATATCTGGACCCTAAAATCAGTTTGCGGTAGTCAGGTTTAAACGATAACCAAAACGATAACCCGAACGATAATGTTTGGCATCAGAAATTGTGCTTTGTGAGCACTTGTTCATGTTTCCTGGAGCCTCCTTCGTAGCACTAATTTGTGCTACGTGTTATTTTCGCTCGGGTTGAAGCAAAAGCGTACCACTTAAGAAAAAGCGCACGACCACCTCAATAAACGCTCGAGGCCCAACCTTGAGGGACCCAGCCCTAAGTGATTGTGGGTTGGTTGTGATGAATCATATGGTTTAGGGCTTGCAAGATTCGGGATTGGGGGCTTTGGCTTTTTCGAGTGCACACACACAAAACATACAAGCTTGCATGTACCCCTCTTCACCGTGGATCGATCCTTTTGGCCGGGCACTCAGTCTGGCATGCCGAATGATGCCTGAAACAGCCTTCGGTAGGCCATAAGCACACGAGACATCGATCGTAAGGCGACGAGTCTTGAGGATCCAATTCGTCTGGTCACCCGACTCACCCGGCCCACCATATCCTCATCGCTCCAAGTAGCAAAACCTCAGATACTCGCTGGGCACTTATGTGTTATCCCGGTTTGCAAGAGCTCGCTCATTCCGAGTGGCATATAGCATTCAGAACGAATTGGGGTGAGGAAGGCTTGGCAGTTGCACGTCGGATCTGTCTCTCCATGTTTCGCCTCGGCTTGAATGCTGAGAAGGCGATCAGGCTCGATCATGGTGCTTGAACTCCAATGTCTGCCAAGCAGCAAGATATGACCGAACAAATGAATCTTGGGGCGAATCTTATACAAGGGCCACTCTCGTTCTGCACACCATCTGGCCATTCCAGTGTAGCCTTCCTGAGTGCAAACAACATATTACGGTAGGATGCATTACAGTAAAACTGCTAATGCCTCCATGCAACGATGAAATTCCACCCACACTGTATCGCTGGTTTTGCATCTTCGATCGGAATCCAAACACCGTGGCCATATAGGGCAGTCATCAGATCATTCCCTTCTGAAAGTAGCCACAGGAGTAGCTGCAAGGCTTCATTCATATCCTAAGTTTGCAATAGCGAAAACATGTACAAGCCCAAGAGACTGGATACTTTAGGAGACAGGTTTGTCTGCAGAAATTAAGAAACAGGATTCTTACACACATCCCGAGATCGTCACCTTGGTCATCTCTGATCTCACGAAGCTTTGCTACCAACCACTTGCACAATAAGGCCACATCATAGGCTTTCCCACATCCAGTGGGGAATTGCCGCTGCCTCAGGGAGCACTACATGCATGGTTCGTTGGTCGGGTTTGTCAAGTCAAGTAATTCAATAGCAGGAAGGGTTTTGGGATTTGTGTTCCAGGGTACTACGTGGCTTAAGCACTTCGGGCGAACACAGAGCCAGGCTGCGAGCTGATTTTGAAGGTCTTGAGCTCGAAATGTTTCAAACTCGAAGTCTTGTGATTCTGACAGCACCAGGCGTGAAACTGTTTGTAAGCCTCCTCTAGCTGGATCTTGATCGAAGAGCCACTGAACTCATCCAGGCGGCAAAGCAGCAAAATGGAGCTTGCAGCAAGATCTTTGCCGAATCCTAAATTCATGCAATGCATGATATCTGGCTGAATTCGGATTGGATTTTCTCCTCCGGGTATCGCCCTCAACGGCGACGGCCTCTGTTTGAACGGGTTCGGAATGGGGCCCTCAAACGTACGAAGCTGTGATGCCTGCCCACAATCCCACCATTCCTCTAGCTGCAATGCTGGTTTGGTAGCTGGCAAAGACTTCAGAAGTTCAGGATTCTTGTCACAATATAGCTCTAGATTACAAAACCTTCTATCGATCCAAGCCAAGAGTCATCCCCCGGACACAAGTGACACTTCCGTTTGGAAGTAAATCCTGGTGCCAAGTGGTATGCCTTTCTAACATACGGCCAGTCGCCTTTGGTGGCAACCAAGGCCACGAAGATGGTGACCTTCTTGTCGCCGACCTCAGCAGCACTTGGGAGGGCTGGGTGTTTGGGTTCAGGGTGTAGGGTTCGACACGATGGATGCATGGCGTATGGCTTTATAACTACTAGCTAGGAAGTCGGGCTTTGGGTTTAGAGGGTTCGTGATTACGTAATACAGTAGATCCAGCCACCTGCACAGTCAGACCGTTCTCGAAGAGCTCAGTCAGCTCTTCCGCAATCGCAGCATGAAGCCCATCTATCGTTTTGTCGTTTTTTGCATAACAGGATGCTGGCAGGATCGAGTGCAAAAGCCTCGTGGCATAGCTGTGCCTTTGATGCTCACGAAGAAAATTGAAATCGCTCATGTTGCACCATTAACATTAATAAATTAAAGCATACATCAGGAAACTGCAAACATGTGATCAATGCGAAGGGGCCCGTGAGTGTTCAAGTGAGTTTCGCCCATCCAGGGCACCACACATTGGAAATTTGTGATCATCACTGGTACTTTGGCTAAGCCTCTTCCCTCGTCACCATGTAAACACAGTGGTATCGTGTTGCATCTCTCCGACTGGCTTTTGCGTGTATATATGTCGTGGCTTGGATCGGCTGTTTCATAGTTCTCCCAGAACCTCTTGAAGACCGCTTGGAAACCATCGGTCTGCAATGTGTGATAACCAGCCAACAGGAACTGCCCACCAGCTTCACCCAAAATGTATTTCATCCAGTCAGTGAGGCGTAGGATGGGGTATTTCACATCCAAGCATCCACCCCCTTTCTTGCGAATAGTCAAAGGTGTCGTGGAGATCGGGGTCGGCAGGGTTTTACCCTCACGATGCACAAACTTATGTAAAGCCCGAGCAGCATTGTGGTAATTTCCATTCCCCAGAACGGCAATGCGGTCGATGTCAGGGTCGATCGCACCTGCGGAGCACATGGCTAAGCTACTAGTTTTTTGTTTATGGGCTTCGGGTTCATGGGTATGGTCGCCAGATAAGTGTAGCTAGGATGTGGGTTAGGGGTTTTGGTTTAGGTTTCTTTTCTACCTACTGTGGCCAATGTCTCGGCTGTCCTTCTGTTGTACTACACAATATGATGTATCCTCTTCGGCATTGGGTTTGTGGGTTCGCGACTTCGTTACGGTGAGTTTGGCTTCGGAGTAGGGTTCGGGGGTTTCTTTTATTAATTTATAGAATTAAACAATATCATCGTAATTGCCAACTGCGGCTGGACTGACTAACCCTTGTGAGTGTTTGTGATAGGTTGCTCGAGTTTGGGGTTTTTGGGCTTGTATCGGGACACTGGAGGCGTATGTGCTTATCTGCCCCGGCCTAATTTCCTCATTCTCCTCGAAGTAATACCAGCGAGCCGAACGACGGACTTTGCATTTGCCTCGTCTGCGTGGTTACGAGTTCAATCGTGGATCCTGTGTGCGTCTGCGTGCCGAGGGGCCCCCTGCTCCATATCCATCATCAAAGCATCAGCCAGATCATCGTCGGATTCGGAGTGAAGTCCTTCGGAATCAACATCAACCAGCACAACCCTCGACCCTAAATCCCTAAAGCTTGCCCTGAACCCTAAACTTTAAAACCCGAATCTGAATGAGGCGTGGACTCTCGGCCGAAGAGGATTCTTCATCTGCTGTCGGAAGGAGACCTGCGTGGGGCGAGAGTTGGATATTCGATTTCAGCTAATAATACTCGATCAACAAGGGCTTGAGATCTTTTCTTCAGCAGAAAAGCTGGGCAACAGGATCTCAGCATTTCTGTCTTGACAGCTTGAGACTGATTCTGGAAAGCTCGAGAGATTCTTGCGAGCTCTCAAAACCTTGAGGGAAGTGCCTCGCCAGACGTGTCAGTGCAACACAGATCAGCACTATTAGCCACTTGCTAGGAACATCTTGCACTCGCTATCTCGGTGATACACTGCTGGGCTGCAAGGCCTCTACCGGTGCAATTCACCAAACGATTGCACACATCGAGAACAGATGGCCGTAGGACTCGATCATCATCGCTTTTTCTTGGTGTCCTTCTTCTCATCCGCCTCACCTTTCGCCTTGTTCTTCTTCGGCTTGGGATCCTCGTCGCCCGACTTGTCTACCTTCGGCGAGGGCGTCTTGCCCTTCTTTTCCTTCTTGTCCTTCTTCTCCTTCCTGGGTTTTTTCCCGGAGCCAGCTCCACCAGCCCCAAGATTGGTGCTGCTTGGCTTGAAGCTCCTAAGATATGCAAAGAACACACAAACAAGCGACCAGGTCCGATAATGTTGCTGACACGACCAGTTGTGCCCAAGATTCCTCGCCCTCGCAATGTAATTATTCAAGGTAACATCGTGCTTCGTGCAATCCACCAAGCACTTCATGATGTCCTTCTTCAGCTCCGGGGTTTTCCTAGGTCAAGACACTCTGCGTGCAAAAGCCCTGGGGCCTAGATTCTGAAGTTCATGCTCTATGAAATCCAAGACTCACCCCATCCATGTCCGTAACAGCCTCGGCTTCCTTCTCCATCATGTTCGTATAGAGTGTGTTCATGGAGTCGAGGATGCTCTGCATGCGGTTGGCAATCCTAGGCCAAGTCATGTAGAGGCTAAGGCAACATCGTGGAATACATCTATGACATCACGTCTAGCAGCTCGTTTGCCCGGGGGTTGTTCATCTTCTTCAGCTTCTCCTCGCGAACACCCAGCGAAGTACTAGGACTACATGTATGCCTGACAGTGCAACTATGTCCTGCTCGATACACCCATTCTCAATCTTCTTCCCCAAGACCGAGAGGAAGCTGGGGAGGATCGTGACAGGGTTGTCAGTCTTCTGGATGGTCGGGAACACATACCTAGGCCGAGAGTATTTAGTACGAGGTTGGGAGAACATCTACCAAACATACAGCTGCCCGATGCTTGCATGACGAAGGACTTGCCTTTGGCGGTGGCGTCGGCAGGCTTGTGGCTTAGATCCGTCTCTTCGGCCAAGGGAACATCATCCTCTAGCATATAGCCGTCCACGTCCTGCATGGCTGATGGGCACACCCTGTAGCTAAGCCATACTTGGGATGGGAGGATTTGGGGGGGTCTTGGATGGTTCGAGGCTTAAGGCATCTTTCGATGGCCACGGTATTTCTGTAGCATAAAGGGATTTGGGAATTGACGGTTTTGGGGAATCTAGGGAATCTAGGGGTTGCGGTTGACTTTTTTTTCAGGCCTGAGGCAGGGGCACTCTGATTCGTGGGTTTTCTTTCAATCAGAGTCTACGGGGTTTGGATCAAATATTGAGGGGTTGATGGGAACTTAGTCCTCGACTTCCCCTGTGGCACTCATCGACTTCATGCTGCCCCGCTCGGACCTGTTCGAGAATTTCTCCTCCAGCACCAAACGGGCTTCTTCGCACTTGTGCACTTCGTTTACTCGCAGTAAGTTCTTGCTGGCCGCCCAGGCAAAGGAGTTTTCAGCCATCTGCCTCAGTTACATAGCAGAAGCACTTCTATATAGAAACACGTAGGGAAATAGCGAAGGTTCCTAGCACACAACAGAAACTCATTCATACAATCAAAGCTACTTTGTGTAGTGCATCTTCTCCATCAAGAACTGCTTCGTCACCCACTGGGCATTCTTTTCATAAGCCTCCATGTTCTTGACATATTTTTGCACTAGCAAGTCGATGGTCTTGAAGCTGGAATGCTTCTCGAACAACTCCCTCAGCTTCTTTCCTCGGATACATTTATGAGTAAACCCAGTACCGTATCTAGAATGTAGACGACAGCCAGCACTTGTGCAATATGTAACATCCAAAGAGCTCCCTTCCTCAGTTTCATAAAGAGACAAGGCCTCCTTGGAAGCCTTGCATGGCCCACACTGGGGCTTGAAGACCCGCCTCATCCTCAGATAGGCAGAGAGTTCTAGTGAAAAATACAAGCCCCTCTAAAGGATATATAACATGTAGATTTGGAAACACGGACTTCTCGAACTCCACGGTTTAGGGTTTAAGGGCTTAGGGTTTAGGGGTGTTTGGGCTTAAGCTTTGGGGAGGAGTTCAAGGTTGGGGCTTGGGCAGGATTGCGGGTTTTCGAATTTGGTATCTATATACTATAGCTTTGAGCCGTGGATCCTGTAGTAGGTCTTGTCGAACTTGCTACGGTTGTGCTTCTTGTGGGAGCGACCAGCACGAGGGGTGGTTCGAGGGCTTCTGGTTTTGGCTTTCTTGGTCGGGGAAGGGGTCTTGTGGGTCTTGGCAGCCGGTGACCTTGGGCCGTCAGACTCCGACCCCGGAGAGCCACCCAAATTGGAAGCAGATTCCAACAAGCTCTCAGGCGGACTCGTTTTGCGGGCATCTGGACCAGGCGTGGATTCTGGGGTAGGAAGCCTCCAAGCACTATCGAAGCTATGTCCTCGAACCTGACTCGATGGCGGGGCTGCTTCCTTCTCGGGGCCAGGGTTTGTGGGAACTTCGGTTTCGGCGGGTTTGGCTTTAGGGGCTCCTGCAGCTTTGGCTTCTCGGAGGGCTGCCGGTCTTGTGGGAACTTCGGGTTCGGAGGGTTTGGCTTCCTTGGGGGCTGCTGGATCTGTGGGATCTCTAGGCACCAAGCCTTCGGGAGCCCTGGCAAGAGAAGGGGCTTTCGTCGTGTTCGCCCCAGCACGGCGACCAGCAGAGGTGTTTGCTGATTCACCTGCATGGCACCACACTTAAATAACAACCACAAAGCATACTCAAGTACCAGCCAGAACTCCTATCCACGAACTTTCCCGATCAAGCCAAAAGCACCTGAACTCGGAGGTGCAGAAGATGATCTGGACCCGACTTTGTCTTGCAAGGCGGCGATGCGGCGGCGGGTCTCCTCAGATTGGGTTCCTACGGCTTAAGGGCTTAAGCGTATAGGCTTAGAGTTGTAGGGTTTGGACTCAGCTTATAGGTTGTAGGCTTCACACGGGGTTTAGGGTTCTGGGATGCCGATGTCATCGGTTCGAAGGCCTGCGGGTGTGGCAGGAATTGTAGTCTTCGGGTTGCAAATCCATGCAGGACTATGACATAATTAAGACAAACTGAAAAATGGCATTGTGTGAAGCGATGGAGTGGGTATGGTGTAATACGATGGGACATAATTCTACCTATTAGGTATGAATGGACATGATGTGGAAGGGTACGATAGTATGTTGTGTTGTGATATGAGATGGTGGACATATTGTGATGTGGTCTGATGTGTTGGGATCTGACAAAAATGATGTGATGTGTTGTGCTGTGTTATGGTATACATACCGACATATGACTCATTATGTATGTGATTTATCTATGTATGTATATATTGATGTATATATACATACATATATACACACATATGCATGTACATTATGGTATATGATATATGATATATGATATATGCTATATGATATATGAAATGATATATCATATATCATATATCATATATCATATATCATATAATATATATATATATATCATATATATATATATATATATATATATATATATATATATATATATCATAATATATGTATATATATATATATATATATATATCATATATCATATATCATATTTCATATTTCATATATCATATATCATATATCATATATCATATGATATGAGGAACCATGGCCAACCGAAACAATCCACTGAAAGCCAATAATTAAAGAAATGCAGCTGAACTACCTCAATTTGTCGCTCCAAGCTCTGCCGATCCATGCTGGTGGTGGCAGACTCAAAGGTACTCTTAAGTCTTCGAGCACTCGAGGCCTGATGGTGTCAAGCACGGCGTTTGTCGTGTGGCACGAGTTCAAAAGTGCACGTCGAGGCTGTGGCGTTGAAGATTTCTACTGGCATCAAGAGCACTTTTTCAGTTTGCGCCTGTTTGCGTTTTTTTGCGGGGATTTGCGCCCGTTTGGCGCTGAATTGCGCTCGGTGGTTTTTGCAGCAGGACCCCTAAATCCCAATCAAAATTTAAAAAAGCGTTCGCCGAGCAAAAACACCCTGTCTACGTCTTCACTGGCACCGGAGCCGCGATTCCCGGACGGGTTGGCCACTTCCTGGGTCGGCTGGGGCTGGTGGCTGTGGTTTGGGCCTAGGGGCTGCCTTCTAAATTCATTCAGACGATGGGAGCTGGATTGGGGCTCTGGGGCCTCGGCCTTCTAATTGTACTACAAGGACGGAACGTGGAGCCTTCTCGAGTACTGCTAGGACAGAACATGGAGCCCGGGTTGGGCTTCGGGGCTGCCTTCTAATTGTACTACAAGGACGGAACGTGGAGCCTTGGGGTTGCCAGTTCGGGCTGCCGTTTGTCTATATGTTGTACTACTATAGAGTATATAGCTAGGATAGAGCCTGCAAGCCTTACAGCTTGGGGTTTGTGCACTGGACTGCTGCTTTGCTAGTAGGACACTAAACCGGGTCTTTCGGGACTGCCTTGTAACCCTTGAGGTCGGGGGCTATTTTTGGACTGCCCTTTTATCCGGAGCTCGGGAGCCTGCGGCCTTAAATTGAAGCTTGCTTTGCAATCGGGCTGTTCCATAAGCAAAAGTTGAGGCCGAGAAGGGCGGGTGCATTTATGACCGATGGGGGATTGGGCCTCGGGGTTGGCTTAAGATGCTTCTGATGCTCATGCGAACCAACCAATCCTGGGTCTGTAGGAATCCACATAATGGCCTTGAACAAGCTAGGCTTGTTGATGTCTTTAGCACACCCTTATGTTAATATGTATATATATAGAGAGAGAGGGGTAGATAGAGATCATCATACATACATATATATATATATATTACATATTTATGTATGTATATATATATATATATATATATTATTATTATTATTATTATTCTCATATTACATATATAAATAAATGTATATATATATAGAGAGAGAGAGAGAGATCCATAGATAGGTAGTGAGATAGATAATTCTAGATACACCGATAAATACACAGATCCATCGATCGTTATCGGGCCGATATACACAGGCTGTCGCTTGTAGCTTGGTAGGTACCTGGCTAGGTGCGAATAGGGAGAGTAAACAGCCTTCTGGAGTTTACTGCTAAATATCAACTATATATCATTTGGGTCTGGGTCCTGCTCTTGCTTTGGGCTGAGTGCTTCTGGGGGGGCTTGGGTGATTCTGGGGTTCTGGCTCCAAGGCCGATGCTCTAATTTAGCGACTAAGCCTTAAAGGTTCTCTGCATTCCGATTTGCCCTGAAAGTGGTTAAAATCAAGCCTATAGGAGTCTGGTAGAATCTTCTGAGTCCACCCCGTACCTAACCCCTAAAGCCTAAAACCCCAAACCCCGGTATAATATATATATATATATATATATATGTATATATATGTATAGAACATGCATATCATATGAGTTAATATATATATATATATGTTAACATGTCTAACAACTATAGATATCCCTAAGCCTTACACCCGAAACACCCCCACCACTTTCCTAAGATAAACTAGCCGGGCTATCGGCTATCGATGTAATTCCAGGAGTGCACTCGTAGAGTGAGATGTGAGAACGTAACTACCGGTGTCTCTCGATCTAGTAAGTTAGGAGCAGGCATGAAGGACGAGAGGCCCCCGAACTCGCCGGACATCCTTCTCCGGAAAGCAAAACTCCAGCGAAGCCAGGTCGCCTGCAAGGAACCCCCACCCGAAACCCCATAGACACTAGAACCTCACTAGAAGAAATCCGAAACCGGGGAACCCCCAAGCCCTCAACTAGAGTGCCTTCAAGACCATTACCTTATTCCCCACAACAGCTTAAAAATTAAAACAAACTCCTCACAAACCGAAGCCTTAGTTTAAATCTGCCGAAGGTCTCTGGAGCTTCGGTGTTCGAGGAGGCATCGTGCAAAGGGCAAGGGTTTGGGCAGGGACTTTAGGTAGTCTACACTGTCTATGTTATAGTCCTGTACTGGTTGCGAACAAGTGGCTCTCCTTCACCATAGGACTCGAAAGTTGATGCCAGCAGTGGTAAACATATCGGTGAGATTGGTGGCCAAGAGGTTCACTCTAGCACTCAGTCGCCCATACAAGGAAGCATGTTTGTCCAGAACAACAGAACCCTGTTCCAGTCTTTGTTCGATAGACCGCAGCCTAGCATGAATCCGAGCCACTTCTGTTCGAAGAGCTGAGCACTCAGCAAAGAGTTCGGCAACTTGCTCGTGCAGCCGATGGGTCTCCAAACTGAAAACGACTGGAGACCGTTCCATGAGCGATCTGGCGTGTTTTTTTAGCTTCGCCTGTTTAGTGGATGAAGGGATTTGGGTTTCGGGCTGGAAGTTTTGAGGGTCTGTTCAAGTGGACGGTTGCATTGTGCAAAACTTCGTGCAGTGTTGCACTGGCTGTCGACTAATTCCTGAGGCAGACTCGGGTGACTCGGGCACAAAACTGTTCTGCAGGAACCAGTGGTATGACTCAATTTGCAATTGCCGCCGACAAGCTTCCCAGGACGAACAGTACC